CACTCATGGCTGAACACCAACATAACTGAGTGAAGTAAAACATTGACTTACGGTCTTATGAACGCACACACTGTCCGTTGTTTGGCTGCCGTTTGTCTCTGAACTAAAGTTGCGGACATGCATCCCGATGGTGCATTCAGGGGGCATAGGAAATCCCATACACAACCCTAACCCTTTTGTACACCTTGTATGTGAGGAGCAGGATTTTGAATTCTGGATTTAACAGGAAGCCAAAACAGGAGAAATCTGCTCTCTCTTTCTAGTCCCTGTCAAAACACAACTAAACACTGTTTTCTTTTAATAAATAAAATGCACAGATTTTGTATTATGTAGCTAAGTGATGCAGTTTTGAATATTTGTTGTTGTTACTTCCAGTAAATGTTTTCCTTGTTACTTTTCTTTTGCCAGAAACTAGCCTGCTGTTGTATTTAGGGTCAGCTTCACAGGTACAGACAGTGTATGGTTGTAATCCAGTAATATCACAGGTCCCCCCATCAGGCTGTAGCTTTATGATGCCTGTAACAGAATTTTCATTAGTGGTGTCTGATTTGAAATCTGTTTAAACTTCAGACGACTGGTTCTCAGGAGCTGAAGATGAAAACATCAGTTATAGCAATCAGAGATGCTCTCTTTGTGAGCTTTCCTGTACAGCATGCATGACATGAATGCAGATGCTTCTCATGCAACTCTTTAGAAAGCATAACAGGTTGGAGATCACAGTATCTCAAAACTTAACTTACTTCTAGTTTTTCTGTCACTGATAGATTGGGCACGACACCTGCAGTCATAATAAAGTAAGTGTTAGCACAAGTTTACATCTCACTGGTTGTTTTCCAGCTCAGCTTAATAAAAGTATCAGTTTCTTCTGTTTTTTCCTCCATCTTTACTGTAAGATCTGTTAAAATACAAACAGTGACTTTATCTGTCAGTTTGCATGACATCATCTCGGGAGGAACGCTTTCAGTCCTCTGAGGTAAATGAAATGAAACACACCACAGTCAATGTTAATGTGGAGAGCTGGAGTTATCTTATTTGTGACGATGTTGTGCTCTACAGTCAGACCAGTTTAGCTGCAGCAGGCTCCAGGTCAGTTAGATTAACCTCCCTCTGTTTACAGCTTTCTAAGAAGACATAACCAATATCTTTTGGGTTTTGACTCAAATGTGGACACATTCAAAAGATTTGAGCTTCTCAGAGACCGCAGGGCATTCACTCGTCTTACGGCAAAAGACCATTCGGATCAGATCGTCTTATAATGTAGCTAAGATGTAAACTTACCACCTGCCAAAACTTTTACACTGAGACGGAAACACCAGTGTTATTTCTGCAGGAAGAATCTGATGTATTTCACTTGGATTTAAGAACTCTGCACAACATACTTTAAAACGAAGCAAACCTGATAAAACCTCATTACATTTGAAGCAGGTGGATTTAAAGTGCAGACTGGCATTTCTGTCCTTACCAACATTGATGTTTTTGGTGAGACTAAAGGAAGAACACAGGCAGCTTCCTGTAGTGAAGGTTTTGGTCAAAACTGAGCAAATGTCCTCATAAGCAGGTGTGACAGAGATGCTGGGTTTGAGCTGATGTCAAACATATCCAAGGATCCAACTAATCTGTGGTTTCTATGTCATTTTTATCTGAAATGCACAAATATTACTTTTATTTAAAAAATAAAAATCTGAATTAAAATAGAGTAAAACACAAAAACAGGAACAATTGTACTCACTCATCACAGTTGTTAGTTTTATTTTCAGCGCCAATAAATGCAGCATTATGCTCATAGTTACTCCTTCTGTTATCTTGTTGGATTTCCTTGCTGTCACTGACGTACCGAATAATGGTCGGCCTTCTTCACCAGTTCTTAGTCACCAGGGGCTGAATCATCAGTGTCATATAAATGGCTGAATGTGATGTTAAGTGGCCGTTTGAAATGAGCTGTTTGATTGTGGGTAGATGGCAGTTGAGATGGCTGTGGGTGTGGGTGTGGGACTGCTGTTGAGGCAGTAGCTGCTGCTGTGGTGAGGAGGTGACAGATGTGGAGCAGAATGAGAAAATCTTCAGTTAGTGCTATTTATATATAATTAAGAGATAAATAAAGATAAGAACAGATCATGATGTACAGTACAGATGGAGGCTGATTTGGTGGCCAGAGGATCCATCAAAGAGTGAAACACTTACATGTACCTCTGTTAGACAGCAGGAGTAACGCAGGCCTCCTTACTGTTACTGATCACGTCCCATTTTATTACCATACAAACTTCCAACACTGAAATGCTGCTGAATGGCCCTGGGTACGCAAATACTTTATTTGTCTTACTACAAAAAGATGTTTCGATTTTACAAACCTGTCTGCACTCATGTCACCAACGAAAGGAAAAAAAGAATAAAATACTCATGGCTCTGCCACAAAGCAACATTACATTTCTGGAGGTTGGATGGAGGAAATCATGGTTTGCACACGGCTGTTGAACACAGCTAGAACGATGAACCTGGAACTTAAATGTGAAGTTAAACGACTTCAGCTTCCTGTTTATTCCTGTTTGAAACAAACTGATTAATAAAACCTTGTTTCCAAATGAATTTTATAAAACTTCATTTAAAAATGCAACAATTTTACTAGAATTCCTTTTTGCCCTGTCTCAGTCTTTTCTTTTTCTTTCACTTAATTTTAATTTTTATTTTATTACTGTTGTATATCAAATTTTGCACTGCCTCACACAAAAAGGCCTTCAGTATGGGCCTGTGCTTCATGTTATTTTATGACTTATGCTGCTGATGTAACACAGAATCAATAAAGTATCGGATTAAAAAAAGTATTTTATTAAACAAATAAGCAAAAATGTATTTTTTATTATATAAATAAATATTAGCTCCATAATTAAGACAGTGAAAAATACTTGACAAGGGATGATTAAGTTGATGTACTTTATACAGTTATTTAGAATATTTTCCAGCAGGTCTTGGTGGTTATCAGGATAGATGCCCTGTATTGTTGAACTATGAACACTGCAGCTGTTCAGATGTTTAGGTCACTTCTGAGGAGGCTGTTACTGTTACTGTTGTGGGTTTTCTCCATTTGTGAATAAAGGAAATGACTGACAGACAGGCTCACGAAGGCTTGTTGAAATCTTTTAGCGTGCTCCATTTTCTCAGGTCGATTCTTTTAAGTGATTCAGCTGGTCTGGCAGTAACCAGATGTGGGCGGGGCTAGTGAACCTAAACTAACTAAATCATTATTGGGGGGCACATAGGTTTGATTGGTAGGTCTGGATGCCTTTTTTCCCTTAATAAATAAAATCATCATTTAAAAAGTGAATTTCATATTTGTTGAATATTAAAATTTGTTTGATGATCTTAAACATGTAAGTGTGATAAATTTCCCCCCTTTTTAAGTCCATCCTCAAAACCCACCTCTTCAAGACAGTCTACTCTAACGTCGCCATCTTAAACTTTCTTTTATTACTGTGTTTATTTCCTGGTTTGATGCTTGTCTTATTTGCTCTGTGCAGTGTCTCTGGGTGTTTTAGAGGCACTTTTAAATACCATGTATTATTATTATTATCATTATAAATATGCAAAAACCAAGAAATCGGGAAGGGCAGATACTTAATACTTGACTGTCAGTTTTCACAAACTGAAACTTTCACAGACTGAAAGTCACATTTCCGCTTTGCTACCTCGAACAGGAAACTTCGATCTAAACCACAAAGTTTTCTTTTAACTTTCTATTAGTCGATGTTAATGTCAGCCTCGATGTTAATAATAAAGACACAGCCAGCTGAGTTTAGTGCTTTCAGTGGCTTTTAAATGCATTCACTGTATCATACAGTTCATGATAGTGTCCATCACTGTCACATATATTCTCTCAGCTCATGTTATTATTATGTTATTATTACTATTTATGACACAAGTGATTATCATAACTTTTAGACAGAACAGTTACAGATGCTTGTTTATTTATAGAGAATTAGCTTTTTTGTGATTTCTATATTTCAGATCAAGAACTGAAACTTCATCTTATCAAGTTTATTAATGTAAAAAATAAAAAGCCTATTTTAGGCTGGTGTAAAATATTATGAGTCAGAGCTGATATTTTGTCATAAAAAAAGTTTGCTCGTGTGTAGTGAAGCTGCAGCTGGAGTTTCTGGTGATTTCAAGGTAAATCTGAACAATGTTAAATAATCAACAACACCTTCACACATTATTATGTGTTATTATCTTTACATTTATTTACCTGTAATCTAACGGTGACTGAAAACAAAAAAACACCCAAATAATTATATTAATTAACGTTGTACACATAATTTTTTATAGTGCATTTTTAATGTTTATTTCAGTAATTAATAGTTTATTTAAGAAAAAAAACATGGAGATTTGGGTTTAATATAAACAAAATATTTTTTTATTGCTAAAATAGAAAAATGACCAAATGAAGACTGAACAACGTAAATACTAAAGATAAAGAGTTTATGGAGATTTAGTTTGATGCTCCGCGATGTTCTTGGTTACTGAGCTTCTTTCTGACGCCACCCAGGAGGTCGTGTGTTCATGTAAACTGTGATAAGACAAAGGAAACAACAATAAACATGACAAAGCATCAAACCACAACACGATTATGAAACATAACTGCTGCTGCAACCAGTTTTATTATACTTACAGTAACTAAAACTAAACTAATAAAATTACTAGGTATGATGAAACATTTTAGTTAGCCAGTTAAAAAATATCTGCAAAAATTAAACCAACAAAATAATGTTGTGACCTGTTGAAACTATTTAAAATAAAGTGAATGTGTACAGCAGGGATGTCCAACTCGGGAGCTGCTGTCCTGCAGCTTTCAGATGCATCTCTGCTCCAACACAGCTCAATCAGATGGATGGATTATCTGTTCAGCATGTCATCAAGTTTGGCAAAAGCCTGATAACAAACCATTCATTGGATGCAGATGTGTTGGAACAAGGATGCATCTAAAAGCTGCAGGACAGCAGCTCTCGAGGACGAGTTGGAATCCTTTGGTTTACAGGAAATGGTCTCAGTTTGAGTCTTTGTAGTTTTGGTGAAACACAACAAACCTGACGAGGCTTTGGTACAGATGCTTTAAGACTTGTGACATTGAGATTTATGTGAGTGACGTGCTTTCACAAAGGGTTGTGTTTTTATGGAAATATCAAATTATTTAGCCTATATTTCCTAAATCTGTGTAATAATTAAAAAGAGAAAAATAACAACTAAAAACTAAATTCAAACTAAATATTTTAATCACTAAAAACGAGACTGAAAGCAAAACAACTCCTGAAACTAAATGAAGGTAAAGAGGATTTAAAACAGAAGGACAAAATTATAAAATAAATACAAAATAATTAAAAAATTCTAAACCAATATAAGACTCTTTACAACTACAAATAGTAACAATGTAGCAAAGTATTAACATTTACATAGTTCATGGTAACAGCAGCTGAATATCTACATACTTGCTTCTGAGGCCACATTTTCATCCTCGTCACTGTGGAGAGAAGATTTACTTAACAGTTAACATCCTACTGTGTGAAAACAGAACATAATTATCACCATAGATAAATGTCATCTATAATAAATTGAAATTCATTTACAACAAACAGTTTTATCACTGATAACAGATGAATATAAACTAACGATGTTGGATGCGTGGCCTTTACCTCCTACGCTTTCTGAGCTTCCTGTACACGCAGGCCGCCAGAAGCAGAGCGGCGGATATGAGGAAGATCAAAAAACCAATGACAGCTTTGTCATTGTCTGAAAACAGGTTCAAACAATATCAAACAGTGGCTTTAATATTCAAGATACAAACAGGTCATGTTACCCAGCAGAGTAAAGATATTTATACTTTATTTCATTGTGTGAACAGTACAGCGAGTGCTGGCTTTGGCTTCACCTTCAACTTGTCTGTTAAAAACAGACACCTGTGTGTGTGTGTGTGTGTGTGTGTGTGTGTGTGTGTGTGTGTGTGTGTGTGTGTGTGTGTGTGTGTGT